TGAGCGTGAATTCACCCACATTCTGAATACTTCATATAAAAACGTAATGTTAAAATGCATCTATCTGCCCTGGCCAGTTGGGCTCAGCGGTTAGAGCGTCGGCCTGCGGTCCAGAGACACCTGGGTTCGGTTCCTGCTAAGGGCACACACGGACCTCGGTTGTAGTTTATCCCCAGCCCCGGCTGGGGCCGTGTGGGTGGCAGCCACTCGATATGTCCCTTTCACATCGATGTTTCTCTCTCTCTCTCTCCCTCTCACTGTATCTGAACAAAAATAAAAAAAAATGTCCTCGGGTGGACATTGGTTTCTCTTTTACTTTTTTTTATCCTCACCTGAGGACATTTTTTTTTGCATTAATTTTCAGATTGAGCAGGAAGGAGAGAGGAAGAGAGAGAGAAACAGCGATATAAGAGAGACACATCGAGTGGCTGCCACCCACACGACCCCAGCCGGGGCCGGGGCCAAACTGCAACCAAGGTACATGCCCTTAGCGGGAGCCGAACCCGGGTCTCTGGACCGCAGGCCGACACTCTTAACTACTGAGCCAAACCGGCCAGGGCTGTTTTACTATTGTTAATGTGACTGTTAGAAAATGTAGAATTTCACACATGGCCTGCATTCTGCTGTGTCAGACAACACTTGTTCCAGACATGAATGCAACAGGAACCTACGTTTTGGGGGTTCTTTATATCAGATGTTCCAGTTCCTTAATCCCCATTACCACTGCACCTTCTCTGTTAGCTCAAATCAATATTTATTTCAGCCCTGGCCGGGCAGCTCAGTTGATTAGAGCATTGTTCTGATACACCAAGTTTGCGAGCACATACAAGAATCAACCAGTAAATGCATAATAAGGGGAACCATCAATGTTTCTCTGTCTCTCTAAAATCCAATGAAACTTTTTTAAATCCTCACTCGAGGATATTTTTCCATTTGGCTCAGCGGCTAGAGCATCAGCCCGCGGTCAGATAGAGTGGGAGGAAGGGAGGGAGAGAGAGAAACAGACTGGTTGCCTCTCGAGATCCTGACCAGGGCCAGGCACCGAACCGCAACCAAGGCACATGCCCTTGACCGATTCCGGGCTCGTGGGTCGAAGGTCCAGCCGCTGAGTCAGACCAGCCAGGGCTCAAATCAGTTTTTTTTTAAATACTTCATTCTTTCCTCTGAGTGTTTTCACCCACTACTCTCCATCTCTTTGACACCAGTTGGACAACCCTAAGACCCTTGCTCAAAGCCGCTAGCTGTGACCCTCGAAGTGTGGTTCCTGGGCCAGCAGCAACAGCCTCGCCTGGGAGCTGGTTAGAAATTCGGTCTCGGGCCTAAGGAACCAGCGTCTCATCTAACGAGCTCCCCAGGGGCCGGCTGCACGCGGCAGGGTGCGTGTGCGAGCTTGGCCCCGTCTTTCCTGCAGCCCCGCCTCAGTTCTCCACATCTGTCCCTCTGGCCAGTTCTGGTGATGCTTCTGCAAGGTTGCTGCACCGGGCCGGTTGTGGCTGAGAGCAACTAGCACTCTTCCTTTCCTAAAAAAGGAGTTAAACGGTGAATTTCAGGCAGATGCCCAGAAGTAAGTCCAGAGAGTGGAATGCCACACCTTCCTGAAAAGAGATGCAGACGCCCTCTCCCTCAGACACACCAGAGGAAAGCATCGCCATCCCTTTACCACGCTCCCCAGGGCCGAGCTGTTGGTGGGGCCGGCCTCACCCCTCTGCGTCTGGTTTAAGTCTGTGAGTTTGCTCCATTCACAGCCCCGTCGCAGAGCTGAACGTGCCAGCGTGCCACCAGGTGTCCGCCTCGGTCTGGGTGCCAGTGGAAGCCAGAGAGGGGTGTGCCGTGGGGATCCAGGTCAGGAAGAGAGGCCCTATCCCAAGCCCCCCAGGTGACCCAGGGCCATAGGAAAGGCTGGAGCAGCAGGCTCTGCAGCAGGCCATCCGTCCCCGCCTGTGGCCTGTGTCAGTTCCGGACATCTGCTCATCTCACACTGCAGGCTCCGAGGCCCATCCCTGGCTGCTAGTAGATGTTGAGAATACCACTGAACAGATGAACATTCCCTTTTGTAAAGCCTGACACCAGTATCTCTAACCTGACCGAGTGGGAAGGGATTTGGACAATGAGCAGCTGTCCCCCGAGCTGCAACCAGCCCTGCAGTGCAGAAGCCGTGGCACAGGGAACAGGGACAGGCAGCCAGGTGGGAGCCAGCCCGCCGGAAGCTCAGGCTCCCAGAAAGAATCAGAGCGGAGCTGTCCCGGCTGCTGGTCCCTTCCTAGCACTCCTGGTGACCGTTTCCTTTGTAATGTCACGATGAGCTCTAGTTTCAGCTGCTTGTATTGTTCCCCAAAGATTCTGGGTTGCTCTGCAGGTATCACAAAAACCGAAATCCAATCTGTGGTCTCCCCTGGGCTTTGGGGAAGCGGAGCCATGGGTGTGTTTGTCATTTTTAGCTGTCACTGGAAGACAGCCAAAGCTCCAGGAGATACTGAAAGTATTCAGACTCGCCCGATTGGCTGTCGGAATTAGCTGTTACACAAAGCAGCCAGTCACCGAGCACCGGGGACCTTCCTGAACTCCAGTTGGTGGGAGGCCTTCCAGGGTGCGCGTCAGCGCTGAACTAGGGCAGAAAGGTAGAGGTTTGAAAGGGCTGATGACAAAGCCGCCAGCACAGGCACCCTCCTCTCCGCCCTTTGTCTGGGGGTTTCGCCTCGTCTCAGACTTGCTTCCTTTCTTTGTCACTGGGCCACGTCCCGGTGCTGGCCTGCCTGGTCACATTCACCAACTAACGGAAGAGAAACCCCCAGAGGTGCCGGGCTCGTGTTCCTCAATGGATCTGATCCAGGGGCTAGATGCTGTCTAACACACAAAGGGATTTTGTTCTGTGGGTTGAAAGCAGAAGCGAGGGAGGGAAGGGAGATTCTGGACACTGGCCTGGTCTCATGCACAGACTCCTTTGTAGGGAGGGGACTGTCTCTGTTTCTCTGTTCCTGAGGACACTTCTGAAATATTTCACACACGATAAACAAAGTGTTTTTAAAGTAGCATTTTGATGGGCACACTCTGTTTCTAAACATCTCTCTTCCCACACCACCTTGATATCACCCACTGGGGCGGACAGCACACTGAATGGCAGGCTGTTCACAGAGGGGAAGCGCGTAGACCGCACGTCAGTCACAGAACGGAAAACTGACACTGGGGTCCCACCGTGCTGGTGGACTAGCATAGCCTTGGAAAGTATACTTGTTTTCCATAGAAGTAGTAGAGCTGGAGACTACTGTACTGGAATTCTAAAAGTGACCACTGCCATCTCGGAGACACTTAGAGTCACAGTCAGAGAAAATGTACGTATTTACGAGGGAGCAACCCACAACGGCACGTCTGCGTCAGCGTCCTGACTTACCTGCAGGTCGGTAGGGCCCAGATGTTAGCAGTCCACGTGCATGGTGGGCCACGGGAGTGGGCTGAGAGCGAGCCTGGGAGACCGTTGGGATGTTCGGGTACTTTGGGCTTGGGAGTCGGCTCGGGTGGGCTCCAGTCCTGTGAGAGCCGCTGCCATGAGACGGAATTTACAAGGTTGCAAGAAGCTATTTAGAGCCGTGTAAGAAGCAGTTGTTAAAAAGTATCTGTTTTTAGTGCCCACATAACCGTCCATCAAGAAGCATAACCACCCTGGCCGGGTAGCTCAGTTAGCTGGAACGTCATCCTGATATGCCAAGGTTGCGGGTTTGCTCTCTGGTCAGGGTACACACAAGAAACAGCCAACGAATGCATCAATAAGTGGAACAACAAATTGATGTCTCTCAAGTCAATTAAAAAAATTTGTGTGTGTGATACGTGCCCCTAGCAGGAACCGAACCCGGGACTCTCGGTCCACAGGCTGACGCTCAACTGCTGAGCCAAACTGGCCAGGGCTCAAATCAATTTTTTTTAAAGCACATAGATTCCCTGCTCCCCTGGGTGGGGGACTCCGCCCAGAACCAGTGCCCTGCCTTCAAGGGCACCAGCGGACCCGGCGGTGCGCGTGTTCTCTGCGCTTGCCGCCCGGCTGGCGTGGGCGGAGAGGGCCTCGCCGTCCACCCCGGGTGCGGAGACCAGCCAGGCTGTGACCTGCCCCGGTCACGTGTAGGTCTTTGAAGAGGTAACATCTCTCAGATCCTTCTGCCTCCCTGTCCCTCAGGTGAGCAAAGGCTTGTGAGCTCACCATGTCCTCACAGCTGTTATCGTCTCTACCGTTCATCTGTCAGCCTGGGCCGGTGCAGCCTGATTCAAACCTTATTGTTAAGTGCCGCTTCGGACTGTCTTCTCTCTGGCTAGACGGCTCCATGAGGACAGTCTGGCCTTTTCACCTTGTATGGCTCACGGTATTTTGAACCTACCAGGCACCGTAATAAGTCAGCTGGCTTGGTGGTTGTGATGACACTCACCGCTGGGTCGTGTTATTGGCAGTGTGTCTGAGGGAACAGATGTTCCTATTCAGACCCAAGAAACTGGAAACGGTAAAAAACAACAATCGCGACATTGATCGATAGTGATATTTACCGTGTCAGACTGCTAACGCTCAACTATAAAGCAGACGGTTGCGTACTGTCTTTACGTTTGGATTTCACAGATTCTCCAGCGCTCAAATAAGGTCACTTGCCTGGGACCCCGTTCTTGCTCGATGTGCTATTTAATACTTCTTTATCAAATCACAGCCCTGTGGCTTGCCATTTTCCTCAAAACCTTTCCTTCCTGAGAAAACAGCACCTCTGGGTGCCTTGAAGGTATTTTTGGTCTGTTACAAGAGAACCTTTAGCAGCCGGCAGGACATGTACTGCTAGGAACACAGCAGCTGATGCCGGGCTGGGGACAGGTGCGCGTGGCCGGGTTGTCTGCCTTCACCCATTTCCCAGATGCCCTCCCTGACAGGTGGGTGCTCACCTCCACTGGTCTATCAGGTCGTCCTAGAACCTGCAGTGTGACTTGAGAGCAAGGGCATCTTTCCGAAGGGCTGTCTCTCTCGTCTGGTCCAGGTCCTCCGCACGCAGAGCCTGTCCATGAACGCTTCGGCTTTGCTTCGCTTCCCTGCCACGCTGACCAGAACGTGCCCGTTGCTGTGGCTGCGCCGGCATGGGGAGAAGCCAGCACTGCTGTCCCCAGGAACAGGGCTCCCTCCAGTCCAGACAGCAGGCAAGAGGGACCACCCTGCTCTGCCTCCCCTGGACGAGAGTGACCTCGAAGAGCAGTTTGTGAAAGGACATGGTCCAGGGGGCCAGGCCACCAATAAAACCAGCAACTGCGTGGTGCTGAAGCACGTCCCCTCCGGCCTGGTCGTCAAGGTAGAGGAGGGAGCCCGGGCGGGGGGTTCTGAGCCTCACTGGAGGGCATCACACATCCCGCCCCGCCAGCCCCCTGCGCAGCCTCAGAGCGTCCTCCCGGGTCCTGGGAGCCAGGCTCTGACTGCCCTCCTCCAGCATGGGCACAGCCACGTTTGCCGCTGGCCACAGCAGTGCCGTGGGCACCACATCCTGGGCAGCCTCCCTTAGTGACTGCCAGCCCTTCGGCGTGGCCACAGGGCTCAGGCAGCGGAAGGCTGGCTCCGCTGCACCTGCTCGCTTGGCACTGGTCCAGGCAACGACTCGAGCACTGCCCCTTAGTCTTCCTTCATGGGGAACAGGGCAGGGAGGCGGGCTCAGGGCCTCCGTGGTGCCCAGGGCCTCTCACTGCGCGTCCACTAGACCCAGTCCATCCCTAACACCTCGGCCACCTCTGCGAGCCAGGAGCGTAGCCCTAACACCTCAGCCGCGTTCCGCATCCTCCATGAGGGTGTCATTCGTGAGCAACGGGAAACTACACCTGACCGTTTTTAACCTGTTTTGTCACTTACTCCAGATTCCTCAGTGCTGTTCTTTCACCGACTCCCCACGATTCCTTTCAAACTAGCTCTGCCAGGCGCTGCCCCCACCCGAGGTGCTCCGTAGTGGACGCGGTGGCTGGCGGGTCGCCAAGGTCCCCTGCCCACCTTCCGACAGAAGCCGACATTCATACAGTGCTCATTCCTGCCCACAAGCCACACGTGTCAGTTGTTTTCAGTTATTTCGGGACTTTAAGTTATTTAAAGGCTACCGTCCAAACAAGACAACACTCATAACCGTGACGCCTTCACGGGAAAGCCACGTAACCCGGGGGTGCGGGAGGTGGGGCGGAATGGGCCCGGGCCTGTCCCTGTGGCTCACGTCACGCACTTTATCTCCCGCAGTGCCACCAGACCAGGTCCGTGGACCAGAACAGAAAGCTAGCTCGGGAGATCCTACGCAGGAAAGTGGACGTTTTCTACAACGGAGACAACAGTCTTGCCTACAGAGAAAAACGAGAGGCAGAGAAGAAAAAGCAAGCAAGGAAGAAGAGAGCAAGGGAAACCCTGGAAAAGAAGAAGCTGCTGAAGGAACTCTGGGGGTCCAGTCGAAACGCCCAGGAGAGCCCGGCAGGGGCGGACTAGGGCTGCGGGGGCCCAGCCCCTGGCGGCCCAGCCCGAGGCCGTCCCGGCGGCCGGAGAGCCCACGGCTTTGTGAGCGGCCTGAAGTGTGAGTAGAGAGGCACTTACGAGAATAAGAGAGAAACGAGGAGGTCACGACTGGAGAGGGACGGTGGCTGTTTTGGGGGAGCAAAAGGGCCGTCGTGGCGAAGCAGCACTCGAGGGGCTGCTGGGGGGCTGACAGTTCCGTTTTGTGACCTGGGCAGGAGTTAGAAGGATGTCGCCTTATTTTTTTAAGCTGTTACGTGTGAATTTCTGGCTTTATTATCAAGGGTTAGAAATAGAAATAAGTATGACTGTGTTTTACAAGATGTGTTTCTGTGGAGAACCATGAAGTTGAAAGGAACATGAGTGGCCTTCAGGGCCACCCGGTCACCTGCGGGGAGGTCATGCTCGGGGAGACTGCGGTGGAGGTGAGCTTAACGTCAGGTCAAGACAATAAAAGAGAAAACAAGCCCAGCTGGTGTGGCCCAGTGGACTGAGTGTCGTCCCATGGACTGAGAGGTCCAGGTTCGATTCCTGGTCAGGGCACGTGCCTGGGTTGCGGGCCTTATCCCCAGTGGGGGGCGTGCAGGAGGCAGCTGACCCATGTTTCTTCTTTCTCTCCATTCCTCTCTCTCTAAAAATGTCAATAAAAACATGTTTTTTTAAAAAAAATGCACCACAGCCCAGCCAGCGTGGCTCAGTAGTTGAGCATGGACCCTGCACCAAGAGGTCGCTGGTTCAATTCCCGGTCAGGGCACATGCCCAGGTCGTGGGCCAGATCCCCAGTGGGGGGCATGCAGGAGGGGGCCAGTCGATGTTCTCTCTCATCCATGTTTCTCTCTCTCTCTCCCCCACTCACTCTCAAATCAATAAAGAAAAATAAATTAAAAATTTTTAAAAGGCATCGCAATGCAAACCCACCACAGCACACACTTCCCCCCGCGCGCTGTGCTCATCACGTCCTCACGCATTTCGGGGTCAGGAGGGAAAGTGCCCCTCGACAGGTCTCCCCCAACTCTCCTTGAGCTGCTCTTTAAAATGCCCCCTCGCTCAAGGAACCTGCATCTCAATACCAACTGTTAATGAAAATAAGCTTTATTACATCAAGTAATAAATACATACAAAGATGCAAACCGTGTTAGTCATTTTCGTCCAGATGTTTGGATCAACTTAAGGACAGACGGAATGAAATCTACATACATTCTCGGGAGGAATTTCAGGTCCTAGTGAGGTGAGGTTTGGTGAGTCGCTCTTTCTTCTGTATTTATAACTTGTGCATTTTAAAAATGGACTTCAGAGCACTAATAGTCATGCAAACGCTTAAGCAAAAAGGAAGTTAAGTTAAGCAGGATCTACTGGTGTGGCGGACGGGAGCGGCCACCAGCGCAGAGGTCACTGCGCTAGGCGGTCCCTCAGCTCCGGAGGACAGGAGAGGACCCTCCGAGGGCACGGATGGGCTCGGAGGAGGAATACTGGTATCTCGGAGGCAAACTGCACTTTGCCGTGACAGGTCACTCGGACGTGCACCCTTTAAATCAATGCTTAAAAAACACAAAACACCCTGGGTAGTTCCTAACTAACATGTAAACCTATTCAACTGCAAAAGCTCTTCTCCATCTCAGCGACTGGGGTCAGAGCCCAAGGACCCCCGGGGTGCGGGGAGGAGACACCGAGCTGTTACCATTCTGAAAACAAGCGTCGTCTGGACGGGGGACGTGGACTGGAACTCCTGGGAAGGAGGCGGAGAGCGTCCAGGCCGACAGGGCGGCTAGGACCTGGCGTTCCGCTCCGTCTCGGCCAAGCACTCCCGAACCAGCCCTCGCGCGTGGATGATGCCTGGAAGAGAGGCAGAGGCTCGAACCCCCCGGCTGGACCGTCCAGGAGAACTCGAGAGGAGGTGGGTCCTTTCACAACCTGCCAGAAAACCCTCCCACTGGAAGGGCAGTCGGACCCGCATCCAAGCCCTCAGGCCCCCGGCGGTCTGGAAGGCACAGAATCCTGTCCCACGTCTCCAAGCCCTCTGTCCTGGCGGAGTCTCTCCTGGCGGAGTCTCTTGGGTCTCCCTACACACCCCTCTTGCTCTCCAGGTGTCCGCCAGCGGCTGCTCCTTCCAGCCGGGGCTCTAGCCCCTGCTCCGTCCAGAGGGCGGGCAGCGTGGCCCCAGGCCCTGTGAGCCTGACCACAGTGGAGACCCCACCTTCAAGGCTCTGTTCTCTGGCTTCTCCTGCGATCCAGGAGGTGCTGACGACGTCACCTGGCCCGCAGGCGCCGGGGCGCATCTACGTCCCATGTCAGCCCGCTGGGCCGTGCCACCCCGGGCCCGGCGTGGGGCTGTCCTGTCTGTCCCTCTCCACGTCGTCTCTCTGTGGTGGATTGGTTTCTGTCTCTACTGAAATCTCTGTCTCATCTTACTAGGCCCCAAGCATCTATTCCTTCTAAGAGACAGGCTCCCAGGGGGCAATGGGACTGACACCCCAGCTCACACCTGTCTCTGAGCTTCGGAAGACGCTTTCTGCTGAGGGCGAGACAGCACATGCTTAGGTTTCTCGGGATCAGTCACCGTCACCACCACTCCGCTCTGCCGCTGCAGTGTGACAGCAGCCACAGGCGTCACACAAGAATCGGGGTGGCCGTGTTCCCATGAACCTTTGTTCATGGATACAGACATCTGAATGTCCCATCATCTTCAAGTGTCACAGAAACACGGTATCTTACCATTAAAAATGGTAAAAAAAACCACCCTGGCCAAGTGGCTCAGTTGGCTGGAGCATCGTCCCCTACACCAAAAGGTTGCGGGTTTGACTCCCGATCACGGCACATGCCTAGGTTGTGGGTTTCATCCCCAGTCGGGGTGCAAATGGGAAGCCACTGATCGATATTACTCTCACATTGATGTTTCTCTCCCTTCCTCTCTCTCAAAAAAAAAAAAAAAAATCAGTAACACATCCTCAGGTGATGAGTCGAAAATGTAAAAACCTCTGGGCTCACTGGCTGTCATTTGCTGACCAATCGACAAGGCGCCTGCCTCACTGCTGCCCACTATGACCCTGTGCCCGGCTACACAGGATCCTGGCGCCTGGCTGGGACCAGCTGCCCGCCCGGGCTGTGCCCCGGAGCGGCCACTGGTAGACCCATGTGCTGACTTAACCACCAGCTGTTCTGGGGGCCTGCAAACTGCCTGTTAGACTCGGGCCGGTGCCGACCCAGGGACCTCCGTCCGGGCAGCCAGCTCGCCGGTCACCAGGACTGCCTTCCTCCCTGACTAAACAGCCTGGACGGTGGGCGATGCCCACCTGACCACCAGGTTGGATCCGGGTTAAGCTCCACCCCCGCCCAGCCCCCTTCGGTTCCAGCCTCTAGCTGCCAACCCCCTCCCCACACCTGTGCCCGTCACTGCCCAGCCCAGCTTCGCAACTGGGCTCCACGAGGGTTTCCCAGACCAGCAAAGCCTCAGCTTCCAGCAGCCTCTCCTCCGCCGGCCCTGCCCGGCACTGCAGACTCACGGCCTTGAGCAGCCCCCGGCGAACGCCTCGGGTCTGTAGCCCAGAACGTTCCTCTCCTCTTCCCCCAAAGTAAGAACCTCAGGCCCCTCCTGAAGTTAAATTCGCACACAGGCCACTGAGCCCTGAACCTCCACCTTCTAAAACAGGAAACCCTTTCTCCCCCTTGCTCTGCACGAGGTGGCGAACACCTTCCCGTCCTCTGCAATCAGCTGGTCAGTCACCTCTTCCTGTGATCACGCTCCGTCACAAACGTCAAGGCATCCCTGCTCCCGCCCGGGGCCAGGACAGACCCCACCCCGGGGCCTGCAGCAGCCGCAGGCGCAGAGTAGGGAGGAGGCAGAGCTCACTGGCTGCAGCCGCCCTTCTGAGAAGCGCCATCTGAAGACGAGTGAGCCAGGCCCCTTCCCATCAGACCCAAGTTCCCATCAGACCCAAGTCCCGGTCCCAGAGCAGCTGACCCCGCCTGCCGCCGCCGCATCCAGCGGTGACTGTCACAGAGCGGAGCCCGTGGCTTCCCCCACCCTCCAACAAGCTCCGGAGAACACCTGTGCTCCGGGCCACCGGCCGACGCACCTCGCTTCAGCCTCTCCATGGCGCTCTTGCTGCCCGCGTACGTGGGCCGGATTTCTTTCCCCAGCTCTTCGATGATAGCCAGCAGCTCGGCGTATTTGCTCTGGGGCACCTGGCTGTTCCCGGTTCCCTAGAAGCAGAGAGAGCGGGGCTCAGGTGGGTTAAATCCCAAGCTGACCCAGTGCCCTGGTCGGCCCCAGCACATGCCAGCGGCAGCAAGGGCAGGACCGTGCCGAGTGGCCACCTCCGCCGGGGCAGGCACGTCCCCTCTGACGGGCAACCACAGAGCAGGGAGGTGGCCCCCCCAGCAGTCTGCAGGAACCTCCACCATCTCAGTGGCCGCAATACAGGCTTCACCAAGAATTCCTAGGACCCGGGTGGATGAGCAAGTATAACCCAGGGGCTAAGGGCGCAGAGCGAGGGACGAGACAGGCCACACCCGGGCCGGCAGGACTGAAAGTCACCCAAGGCCGTCCAGACGGAGCCCAGAACAGGCTTAAATTCACCCACCCTCCCCCACCAGCAGGGCCCACCCACAGAAACCCTTTCTCCAGACTCAACCAGCAGCCCCGAGCCAGCACCCAGACCTCCAGGCTGGGTTCCCGAGAGCCTCTCCCTCCTCCTCCTCCGCCCCCTCGGCCCCCGGCTGCACCAGGGCCGCCCTATCCCCCCTCGAGGCCCTCGCCTGCTCCTCCCTCCTCCGCGGCCTCTGCTGCTGGGCCTCGCGGTCCTTCCTCCTGGCCTGGCCCCGCTCCTCCGCATCCTGCCGGCGCCTGCCGGCCCCGCACTCCTTCCGCGGCTCCCGCCAGCGCCTGGCGGCCAGGGCGATGCGCTGCCTCTCCAGGCTGCGCTGCAGCCCGTGCTCCCGCCGCCGCCGCTTCTTCAGGCGGTCCCGCTCGCGGGCCCGGGCCCGCTTCTCCTCCGGGGACAGGACGGCCTGGCGGGGCATGGCCGGGAGCCACCACCTCACCCCAAGGACGGCGCCCGTGGCGACCTCAGAATGTGGCGGGTTCCAGCCACGGGAGAGAACCTTGCAGCTGGCAACCGTGGGCCCCCCAAAGGCAGTGTTTCCCTGGCAGGTGCCCCAGCGGCCGAAGCGGTTTCCTCCCCCGATGCCCCCACCACCCCGGTGACCCCCACTTGACAAAGGAAACCAAGTCTCTGCAAGATTAGCAAGTGGGGGTCACGGTCTCAGAAGTGGTAGAACCAGGTGTGAACCCAAGACGCCTCGCTCAGGGGCCACCAGCGCCTCAAATTCACCTGGACTCCATCCAGACCTGGGGCCTGGCCTCCTCTCCGCTGGGGCCGCAACCTCGTGGGGTGGGAGCGGAACCGGGCCCGTTCCCTCACCCAGCTCAGATCCAGTCCAGGCCAGGTCTGCCTCCCCCAGGAATCAGGCCTGAGAAGACCCACCAGGGACATACAAGGGGTGGTGGACCCCCAACAGGAATCATAACTCCTGGGCCTTCCATCTTTCTTTGGGCTCCCCAACCCCCATCCCAGCTCTCAGTGACCCCCATGAAATGCTTTGCCACCCCTCTGTTCTGATGCCCCGGATCCTCAACGTGAGTCCAGCCAGGGCCTTGGCCTGAAGCAGCTCAGATTGCGGTACCGGGCCACCATTTCTACTACCGTTTCTCCCACCGACTCCCCGCCCCCACCCGGGGCCCTGCCTGCTGCGCGTCACCCCGCTGCCGTACCTGGGTGTAGCCTAGAGATGGCGGCCCATAGTCGCTCAGCAGCTGGCGGTACTGTGAGGATGCTGCCATGCTGGTGGACGGCGGGTGGACGCTCCCAGCTAGTGGGCAGGAGAGAGGAGTCAGGAACCATGCAGTCTTGACCAGCTGTACCCAAGGTGAAGATTCCGGGTCCTGCGACAGTCCCCCTGCCCAGGACCCTTGCCATCAACAGTGGCCTTTCATCCTGGCAGGACAGAGAACCCTGCTCCTGTCCGCTAGTGTGGCCTTGGCCGACCCCTGGCCTACAACAGATGGCTGACAGTAAGATGTAACTAACAGGCCACTGCTCTTCACACCCACCCCCGCAGCAGACATTGCTAATCGATCCCAGACCTCCTTCCCATCCATCCCTGCAGCTGAACTGGTACCAAAGATGAAATCTGCTGCTATTCTCAGCCTAACCCTCGCCGTCCCCTCTTCCTGGGTCTTGCTCCCCTGAGGGTGATAACCTGGAGCTACAACAGCCCACCTGCCGCCGAGGCTGGTCCGCACCTGGGCTGAGACTTCCTATGGGCTGGTCCACACCTCTGTTGCACTACCTGGTGACCGAGGTGGGAGGGGGCACAGACATCTGAGAGCCAACCCTGGCTGAGGTGGGCGCCTGGGCACGGTCAGGAATCGGGCGTCTATCACGGCCTCTGCGGCCTCAGACAAGCCCTCGCCCTCGGAGCCGTCACCCCTCCCTAAAGAGGGGACAGGACTCTCGACAGTGCGTCCACGCCCAGATGACTCGCACCCAAAGAAGGGAAGGGTGTGGCCCCTCTTAGGGACTGCAATACTCAGACACTGGCCCTCGGCAGCCAGGGAGCACACGGGGCCAGGGCCCGGCTGGGAACGGAGTCTCCTGAACGGGGGCGGAAAGGTCCGCAGCAGGGACTTGTCCAGCCCCCTCCAGCTCAGGAGCTGGAAGCATGCAGACCCGTAATGGCGTCCGAGTGGCCATTAGCGGGTAAAGGATGTCCTGCGGAATTACAAACAGCGGTAACCATGGAGAATTTACCTAGCCCTCGTCGGCAGCTGCCCGCCTGCCTCCACGCCCGGCCAAGGAACAGCTCTCCCCAGCCCGCCGCCCGCAGAGCCAAACAGTCTCACACACACACAACGGGCTCTGCAGACTTGGCCCCAGGGAGGGACAGCTGGTGCCAGGCTGGCCAAAGCGACCGCTGCTCATCTGGTGTGGGCAAGGGGAGGGGCAGGGAGGAAGGAAGTTCAGGAGCTCAGGCTGATGGAGCTGGAAGGGGCCCTAGAGCTCCTTGCTGTAGAGAGAGAAACAGGCCCCAGCCCCAGGCCACAGAGCACAGGAGACATAACACCTTGAAGCCTGTCCCTCTGTCCAGGAGCTGGGGACAGCGCTGTCCTCTCAGTCTCAGGCCTGTCCTCAATTTACCCACTAGGGCCCAGGACTATGCTCAAGCATGGGGTGCCCAATCAGGAAGCATGGATACTGCCACCTCCAGGCGGGCAACTGGGCACAACACCGGGCAGCTCTGAGCCTCGAACACTGGGATAACGATGCTCTGTCAGAATGGGCTGCCCAGGACGGAGACACACCACCAGCACGTTGTGACCTCCTCCCAAGGCAGCCGCAGGGGTGCCAGAGCTCAGGAATGGGGCAGGGCGGCTGCCCGAGCCCCCTCTCTCCACAGCAGCCAAACCCCAACGTGCAGAACTTTCTGATACGGGCACTGAGTGTGGTCTGGGTCGCTCAGGCATTGCAGCCCCAGAACTGAGTTCCAATCCTGACCCCTACAAGTTAACACACTTCTCTAGAAGGGCCAGGATGCGAACGCTGGGGCTGGGGCTGGGCAGGGCTGCCCCACAGCACCGCAAGGCATCTGGAAGTCAGCCGCTCCCTGGCAGAGGTGGGCTGGCACCGCCCATGCATCCTCTGCCCTCCTCTCTCGTTCCTCTTTTCACGGGGTTTCTTCCTCCCCATCCCGTCTTCTCTTACAGCCAAGGGCCTGGCTGAGGAGCCAGCCCAGCTGTGCCACACCTGGCTGTGGGACCTTAGTCAAGCCCCTTCCCTCTCTGGGCCTCAGTTTCTCCATCTGTTTGAGGCAATGGTTTGCAACAAACAGACCATGTGAAAGAGAGTTAGGAGGAAGGAGAAATTGCCCAGTTAGGGTTGGGGGCGGGGGGTCAGGACACTCTCAGGACAGGTGACCCCATTGTGTACCAGTGCCATCCCTTACTGTGCCGAGGTGGGGTACCTGTGGCCCTGGAGAGTTGGCAAAGGGCCCCGGGTTCCACTCATGCCCACAGCTTCCTGCAGCCCCAGAGGGTCGGGCTGCACGAGGCCAGGGAGAAACCAGACTGGGCGTGAGCGCCGCGTCTGGAGCAGAGCATCGCAGACAATGCGCGCAGTGTGCGGGGACCAGGGAGGCCGAGCGAGAGGGATTGGCAGAGGCCAGCAGCTCCTGGGGCCAGGCGCAGCTCCCCGCCCCCACACCAGACAAAGAGCGGCCTGGGCCTGGGGAGCTGGCGGCCTTCCCGCCACTTGGGGCGCCTGGGGAGGGGGGGCTCTCCGGCAGGGAGGCGGGGGCTTTGTCTAACTCCGCCACTGCCACCGCCGGCCAGGCCGCGGCTTGGCAACCCGTGCGCAGGAGGCAGGGCTGGAGGGCGTGAGGGATGATGACAAGGAAGCCAGAGGAGCAGCAGAGGAGAGTCCATCTTGGATGCAAATGACAGGGGAGGTGGGGCTTTGTAAAGGGGTTCGCCACGGGGAGGGGCGGCCCCCACAGAAACACCAGAGATGCAGGGTCCTCAGCACTTCTGGATTCCACCCCAGGAGAAAGAGGGAAACCTGCGCACAGGTGCCCGCCCGCCCAGAACAGGGCTTCAGGGCTCCTGAGGGGGTGCCCGGCACTCTCTGACCCCAGGCACCAAAGGTCCCAGTTTAGGGCCCCTGCCTCAACTATCCCAGGGCAGGCCTCGGCTTCCCCACCTGTCCAGGCTGGTGCAAGACCCTCCCCCTTCCCACCCCAAGGATGACAGACGAGGGAGGAAGTGATCAATCCTACCTGGGCCACAATGCGTTTCTGAGGTCTGCAGACCCCAGAGCAGGTGAGAACATCTGAGAAAATGGTACTGCTTGCTCTTGGGGCTCCAGCCCACATTTGACCAATTCAACTACCCCTCCCAATCCACACCCTGCACCTTAACCCTTTCTAACCCCCAAATCTGTATCCAAAAAGTTAAATATATGCGCATACACATGTATGTACGTAAGTATCTATATTGCTTTTCGGGTCCCTCTTCCGATTTCTGGAGTTAAGGAGCCAACATCTGGAGACAAGGCTCCAACCAGAGGCGGCTGCCAGCGTGGCACTTCTGCCCAGCAAGGCCAGACCCTCCCCCCAGGTCTCTGCCCCCCCCCCCCCATGTGCCCAGCTTTGGGGGAAGTCTGTTTCCAACCAAGTGTCTAAAGCAGAAGGACCCTGCTGAGGGGACAGAGTCGTCACCTCCTAACTCCACAATTTCACACAGACCCTCCCAGTCTCCTTCGTCCCCAGGGCCCTGGGCACAGCCTAAAGCTGCCTGACAACTTCTGGAGCAGTTTCCTGGGACCTCCCAGCTCCAGCCCCAGGGGAGGGAAGAGGACGGTTCCTCCCCCTTGTGCTGGAGGAGGCCTTCTAGGTCCAGACTTGGGGGCTCCGAGGCGCAGAGCCCCGCTCAGATGCACCCCCCACACCCACACACTCCGCCCGCAGGCACTCAGGGGCACCCCAGTCCTCTCCAACTTCTTGCACTCGGCGCATGCCTGAGCAGACCTCCCGCGTGCCCTATTCTGGGGACCCCTGCTTCCACGCACCAAGCTGAACCCCTAATGACCACCGACCCCCTGTACCGCGGGGGACCCCCGTCCCTGCCCAGCCCCCCTGCGCCCTCCCGAGCGGCTGCACCTGGCGCGCCGCCGCCCCCGGCGCTGCCCGGGCTGGTCTGGCCTTGCGCACGTGCGCCCCTGCAGCCCAGCCCCCCCCGGCCCCGGCCTGCACCCCTGCTCTTCACCGGCGGCCCGGGCCCCGCACCCCACGCCCCGCTCCCGACGCGGCCCGGCCGCTCCCGACTCCCGCCGGCAGGGGCCCTCGCCGAGCCGCCCAAAAGCCGGAGAAAAAGGAGCCGAGGGAGCTCCCCCCGCCCTCGCCCGCCACGCTCCCCGCGAGCCCTGGGCCACCGGCGTGGGGGGGACGGCGGCGGCCGCCCGCGCCCCGGGCCCCGGCCCAGCCCCCGCCCGAGGCCCGGCGCCGGCGGGGCGCACCCGCCAACTTTGGCAGCGCGGGCGCCGGAATCATGGCGGCGGCGGCGGCGGCCGCGCTGCCCCGGGCCGGGACCCGGTGCCCGTCGCCCGTCGCCCCCGGCCTCGCGGGCCCCGGCCGGGGCGCCGGGCCCCCAACTTGGCGGCACTTGGGCCGCGGCGCGCGCGCGGGGCGCACTCACCGGCGTTGAGCGAGGCGGCGGGCATGTGCGCGGCCAAGTTCGGCTTGTACGACATCCCCGCGGGCGGCGGGGCGCGGGGCGCGGCGGGGCCCGGCCGGCGGGGCGGCGGCGGCGGCGAGGCGGGCCCGGCGTCCGTGCGCCCGTCCGTGCGCCCGCCGAGCTCCCGCGCACTTTTGGTCGCGAGGCCCGGGCCGCGCCGGCAAATATGGCCGTCCCTCGGCCTGCCGCCGCCGCAGTATATCACCATACATCGGCGGGCGCAGGGGCGGCCGCAAACTTTGAGCCGAGCCAGCGGGCCGGCCGGGCCGGGAGGGGGCGGCCCGGCGTCAGGGGGCGGCTCCGCCCGCGGCCGCGCCCCGCGCCGCCCCGCGCGCTCGCCGCCCGCAACTTGGCAAAGTTTGGGGGGCTGGGGTCCCGGCGGCGCGGGGGGCCCGCGGGGGTCCCTTTCTTCTTCTTCGCGTCCAGCGCCAGCAGATTCCTATTTCGCCGCTTCAGCGTAAAAAGAAAAAGAAAAAAAAAATTTCCTTTTTTTTTTTTTTGCATAGCAAGGTCGGGTTTCAGAATGACTTTTTTGGTCCCCTTGACTGGGGGGGGGCAGGGATGGAAAATTACCTGGAGAAAATGGTGACGAAGGGTATTTTTAAGCACGCAGATCCTTTCCAGACGCCGAGGTCTGGCTCGTCCCCAGAATCGGAACCACCGATTCTTAACATTGATTTCAAATCAATTTCACGTCCCTGTCTGGAGTGAGTGGTTGTTAACCATTTGGGGGCCTGCGACTCCTCTGGGGCGGACCGACGCCGGAGGAGTTGCCCCCTGGAGAATTCAGCCTTGCAGATGGCGTGATGGTGCAGTTTCGCTCATTCGGGTGTTTAAGAAGCGCCCTACTGTGTGCCAGGCGCTGTTTCGGGCGCCAAGGGTATGAGAAGGAACTTGGCCAAATTTCTCCCGGCCTGGAGTTTATATTTGTGGCCCCCCTTCAACCCCAGCCCAGCCCATCTCAAATTGGACTGCGACGTCATCATCAAGTGTCTTGGAGATGAGATGATGAAGCTTTTGAAGGTACTCTTTCTTGGAGTTCTGCTTAGGTACTAAAGCTAATCAAAATACACTAGATGCCCACCCTTTTCTGTTCTTTTTAATCACAGGCGTTCAGACATCTGGATCTTGGGAGGAAGGTTCTTCACCCACCGCAAAGGTGGCCAGCCATGCCTTCCTTCGCTCCAGGATTGAAGGTGCCAGTGACACCCCCTCCCCAGCACCCCGTGTGATCAACTTTAGCCTTGTTCAGCCAAGGATGCTCAGCGAAATTTTATTTCATAAACTAATCTGACACCTCCTCTTACACCCCTCCCCCCACCAGGGACCCAATCCTCAAAAGTAGCACTGTCCATTGGAAATACATACCTAGCCACAATGTAATTTTCCATATTTTAGTAGTTACATTATAGAAAGTAAAAGAAAAAAACTGGTGGAATTAATCTTAATACATTTTATTTAACACAATATATTCAGAATACTGTTTTCAATATGTAATGAGTACAAAGAAATTAAGATTTTATTTTTATCATACAAAACCTTCAAGACCTAGCTCCTGCTCTGGCCAGTTTGGCTCAGCAGTTAGAGTGACAGGCCCCACGGACCAAAGGATCAAGAGTTCAATTCTGGGTCAAGGGCACCGTACCTGGATTGCAGGTCCCATCCCTGCCCCGGTTGAGAGGGGCAAACAATTGATGTGAGAGAGACACATAGGTGTTTCTTTCTCTCTCTCCCCTTCCCTCCCTTCCACTCCTATCTGAAAAAAAGACCGAGCTCTGGTATTTTACACGCAGAGTGTGTCTGAATTCAGACCAGCCACGTTTCAAGGGCTCAGAGAAAGGCTACAAGCAGAGGGCTCACAGGACGAACACCTGGGCAGTAATCCTGACTCCACTGCCTGTGAGCTGTGTTCGCCCCCAAGTGCTGCAGGCAAGAATCCAGATCTCCGTGGCATGCTCTAGTCCCTTCTGAAAATTTCCGGGCTCTTCTCTTTCCATACTGTTGCATTTTTACCTTGATGCCCACCTCCTCACTTTAAGTCCTGACCATTATTGAAAAATATTTTTTCCGCCCAGCCAGTGTGGCTTAGTGGTTGAGGGTCGACCCAGGCACTAAGAGGTCGCTGGTTCTATTCCTGGTCAGGGCACATACCCAGTTTGTGGGCCAAATCCCTAGTGGGGGACATGCAGGAGGCGGCCAATCGATGTTCTCTCTCACCGATGTTTTTATCTCTCTTTCCCTCTCCCTTCCTCTCTCTCTAAAAATCAAGAAAGAAAAAAATTGTTGAAATATTTTTTCCTTTTGTTTTTAATTGAGATCCAATTCATTTAGTATAAAATCCACCCTTTTAAAAGTATACAACTTAATGGCTTTTAGTGTATTCACAGTTTGGCAGCCATCACCACCATCTAATTCCAGGTCACCCCAAAAAGAAACTCTACCCAACAGCATTCACTTCCCTTTTCCCACGACCTCTGGCATTAGGCAACCTCTAATTTTCTGTCTTTATAGATGGACCTATTCTGGACATTTCACATCAATGGAATGACACAATGTGTGACCTTCTGTGTCTGGCTTCTTTTCTTTAGCATCATGTTTTCAAGGTTCGTCCACATTGTAACATGTATCAGTGCTCTGTTACTCTGTTACTCACGGGGAACAACATGCCATTGGAAGGACAGACTACATCAGCAGTTGCCGGACATTTGGGTCCTTTCCACTCTTTGGCTATTGTGAACATGGCTGCTACGCACATTTGTGTACAAGATTTTCTGTGAAAATATGTTTTCAATTCTTTGGGATACATACCCATGAATGGAATTGCTGATGCTTGTTTTACTTTTTGGGGAATCACCAAACTGCTTTCATAGTGGCTGTACCATGGTACATTCCCACCAGCAATGTGTGCCAACTTCTCCAGACCTTCACCAATACTTATTATCTGACTTTTCTATTTTGGGCATCCTAGTGGGCGTGAACTAGTATTTCCTGACTTTGATTTGCATTTCTCTAATGAGTAGTGATGTTGAGCATCTTTTCATGTATTTACTGGTCATTTGTATATATTCGTTGGAGAAACACCTAGTCCAATTCTTTGCCTATTTATATTATTTTTTCTTTATTGACTTTACAGAGAGAGAAAGGAAGAGGGAGAGAGGTAATTTTTAAATTATTATTATTTTTTTGTGGTATGTGCCCCTAGCAGGAACCAAACCTGGGACTCTCTGGTCCGCATGCCAACACTCAACCGTCGGGCCAAACTGGCCAGGGCTAAATTATTTTTTAAATATGTTTTTATTGATTTTTTAGAGAGAGAGATAGAAACATTGATGTGAGAAACATCGATTGGCTGCCTCCTGCATGCCCCCTACTGGGAATTGAGCCCAAAACCTGGGCACTTGCCCTGACAGGGAATCAAATCTGAACTTCTCAGTCCATGGGACAACTCTCAATCCACTAAGCCATCCCAGCCAAGTGTTTGTCTCTTTTAAAAAATGTTTGAATTTTCAGGGAGAGAGAGGAACATCAATCAGTTGCCTCCCGAATGCACCCTTACTAGGGATTGAACCCACAACCTAGGTATGTGCCCTGACTGGGAATTAAACTGGGGCACTCAACAAACAAAGCCATACCAGCCACGGCCGCTTTGCCTATTTTATGATTGAGTTTTCTTTTTATATTAAATTGTAGAAGTTTTGTTTGTTTTTTGAAAAATATTTAGGATACTGGTCCCTTCTCAGATATATAATTTGCAAATAGTTTCTCCCATTCTTTGGTTCATTCTTTCTTTCTCTTTCTTCCTTCCTTCCTTCCTTCCTTCCTTCCTTCCTTCCTTCCTTCCTTCCTTCCTTCCTTCCTTCCTTCCTTTCTTTCTTTCTTTCTTTCTTCCTTCTCACAGCAGGGTTCCTTTATTTACTTATTTTATTTTTTTATTTTTTGGTACGTGCCCTTAGCGGGAACTGAACCTGGGACTCTCTGGTACGCAGGCCAACCCTCCAACTGCTGAACCAAACCGGCCAGGGCTCTTTTCATTTTTTTGGTAGGGTACTTTGACACACACACATTTTTAATTTTCATGAAGTCCCAATATTTCCATTTTTTCATTCGCTGAGTTTTTTTGAAATCCTTACCTGAGGATAATTTTCCGTTTATCTTCAGAGAGAGGGAGAGGGAGAGGGAGGGAGAAGGAGAGAGGGAGGGAGAGGGAGAGAGAGAAACATCAATGTGAGAGAAACACATCAATTGGTTGCCTCCCACACGACCCCAACAAAGGTGGGGGACCGAATCACAACCAAAAAACATGGCCTTGACCAGAATCGAACCTGTGACTCTTTGGTCCACAGGCTGACACTTTAACCACTGAGCCAAACCAGCCAGGGCTTGATCTGCTGTGCTTTTGATATCATATCTTGTCCAAAGTCATGATGATTTTCACCTATGTTGTTGAAAAATTTTTATAGTTTTTATTCTTACATTGAGGTCTTTGTTCTAAGTTAATTCTAAGTTAATTTTTGTGTATGGTGTGAGGTGGGCCCACATCAATTCTCTCTCTTTTTTAAATGTTTTGACTTTTTTTGAAAGAGGGGGAGAGAGGTAGAAACATTGATGTGAGAGAGAAACACCCATTGGCTGTCTCCTGCACGCCCCCTGCTGGGAACCGCGCTCTAAGGAACTTGGCTACCAGGCCAGGGCCCACAGTCATCCTTTGCATGTGGATGGCAGTTGTTCTGGTACCATTTGTTGAAAAGACTGTTCTTTCTCCATTGAATGGACTTGGCCGTCTTGTTGAAAATTAACTGATGATCAAAACGAGGGTGTACTGGACTCGATGCTCTTCCGTTCATCTGCATGTCTACCCTCCACCACTACCACAACGTTGTCATGGCTGCAGCTCTGGGTTGAGAAGTGTGAGTTCTCCAATTTTGTTTTTTCTCTCAGGATTGTGTTGGTGGCCCTGCTGGTGTGGCCCAGCTGCCTGAGCAGTGTTCTGTGCACCGAAAGGTCACTGGTTCCACTCCAGTCAGGGCACATATCCAGCTTGCGGGTCTGATCTCTGGTCAGGTGCATTTGGGAGGCAATTGATCAATGTGTCTCTCTCCATCTTCCTTCCATTGGGCACGTGCCCTGACCGGGAATCGAACTGGCGACCTCTTGGTGCACGGGTTGACGCTCCAGCACTGAGCCACACCAGCCGGGCAACTACTGCTGTCTTTTTTTTTTTTTTCCCCTTAATCTTCAATCTTCACCGGAGGATATTTTTCTATTTATCTTCAGATAAAGTGGAAGGGAGGGAGAAGGAGAGGAGAGAGAGAGAAACATTGACATGACAGAGACACATCGACTGGTCGCCTCCCGCACAACCCCGACCAGGGCCCGGGACAAACCGCAACCGAGGTTA